TCCATGAAATTACCTTGTTACTAAAAACTCCACGGTCAGCTGTTAGTGGTATTGTAACAAAGTGGAAGCACCGGGAAACAACAGCAACTCAGCCACGAAGTGGTATGCCACGTAAAATGACAGAGCGGGGTCAGCATATACTGAAGAGCACAGTGTGCAGAAGACGCCAACTGCCTGCAGAGTCAATAGCTAAAGACCACCAAATTTTGGGTGGCCTTCAGATTAGCCCAACAACAGTGTGTAGAGAGCTTCATGGAATGGGTTTCCATGGCCGAGCAGCTGCATCCAAGCCTTACATCACCAAGGGCAATGCAAAGCATTGGATGCAGTGGTGTAAAGCACGCCGCCACTGGACTCTAGAGCAGTGGAGACTTGTTTTCTGGAGTGACCAATCATATTTCTCTGTCTAGCAATCCGATGGATGTGTCTGGGTTTCGCAGTTGCCAGGGGAACAGTACTTGTCTGGCAGCATTGTGCCAAGTGTAAAGTTTGGTGGAGGGGGGATTATGGTGTGGGGTTGTTTATCAGGGATTGGACTTGGCCCCTTAGTTTCAGTGAAGGGAACTTTTAAAGCGTCAGCATACCAAGACATTTTGGACAATTTCATGCTCCCAACTTTGTGGGAACAGTTTGGAGATGGCCCCTTTCTTTTCCAGCAGGGAAAACAAGGTAAGGTCCATAAAGACATGGATGAGCGGGTTGGGTGGAGGAACTTGACTGGCCTGCACAGAGTCGTGACCTGAATCTAAGAGAACACCTTTGGGAGACTGCCAGCCAGGTCTTCTCGTCCGACATCAGTGCCTGACCTCACAAATGCGCTTCTGGAAAAATGGTCAAACATTCCCATAGACACACTCCTAAACCTTGTGGACAGCCTTCCCAGAAGAGCTGAAGCTGGTATAGCTCCAAAGGGTGGGCCAACTCAATATTGAACCCTATGGACTAAGACTGGGATACCATTAAAGTTCATATGCATGTAAAGGCAGGCGTCCCAATACTTTTGGTAATATAGTGTATCTGTCCTTCCTCACATAAACTGAATAGGTTTTTTAGACATGCCACAAAAACCACTTGACTCCTTTGAGTGAAGGGTCGGCCTAGAGTATGAGCAGGTTTCCCATCAAGTTTAAAACTCTCCAGTTGGGCAAAATCTGTCTGCAACTGCGTGACATAGCAGAAATGGCCTGATAATTGCAAGTTATTCCTGAAAGTGCTATCAATGAATGACTATAGGGCTTCACACGCTTATATTATTTTTTTAGCTAGCTGTTTAACGGTATTATTTTAGTCATGGCCTTTTTACCTACCTATCCATCAGAGGTTAGAAATGAACAGAAAGAAGCTGTTTGGCATGGACATAATACACACATTTTCTTTCAGACAGGAGCTGGTTGATAAATAAGACCCCTGCTTCTGTCCCAGATATGGAGAGTTGCATGATAAAAAAGACATTTTATCATCCTATTCCTAGGACATGTTAGTAATAAAGGTACCATTCTTTGAGTTATCCCATGGTTACTGCAAATAGCTTATCTCCGTCTGTCTGTCTTTGGGGTCAGTTCACTAAGCATTCTTTATCTTACCACATGATTATTTTCCCAAACAATATTTACTTCAGATATAAAAATAGCACATTGGTGTGGAATTATTATTTTTACTGCTGAATAGTTCTTTAACCACTAATAAGCCAATTTTTCTCATGAAACTGTATTTTATCTCATAAAGTGTTACTAAAATGGCACCTTTTTTGTTCTTCTCAATAAATACCCAATAGAAATGATGAATTATAATAAATTATTTCCAGCCAGAAGTTTCAGGATTTTAATGTGAACCTGTACATTTCCCATACTAAGCAAAGTAAGAGATTTACTGTACAGGAGGGGCCATGAACATCCTATATTTGGTTTCATTGCACTTTCCTGACACCAGACACCCCCAAATATACGGAGTGCTGCCAGGTAGGAGGGTAAGCCTCTGACTCCCCCTGCCTCCCTACAGTCACATGTCTGAACAATGTCATGTAAGAACTAGGAGGAAATATCAAACCCAAGTTTTAGCTTTCTCAGCAAGTCAAATTAAGAATATCAGACAGCCTGACAGTGGAAAGGGGTGGCACTACAAAAGTAAGTTTGCCTATAATCTCTTTTTTTAAAGTGAATCAGTTGCATTGCCTTATTAGCATTGGGGAACTGCATGCTGATAGAATTGTACTCATGTGGGTTCTGTGCCTCCACATGGCCAAAGGCCAAATCACTTCAGCATGCTCCACACACAGAAGAATAATGGTTCCTCTCACCCTCCAGTGACCCCTGTCCCAGCACTGACCTTGGAGGGTTCCATTCTGCAGCAACTGCTCGATGGGGTGCATCATGTGGTTCATTTACTTATGCAGGAGAGTGCAAAATCAAGTGCACTTCTGCATAGAAACCAATCGGCTTCCAGGTTTTATTGCCAAAGCTTTAAACAAGCTGAGCCTAGAAGCTGATTGTCTACAATGAACATCTGCACCAGATTCTGAGTGAACCAGTTTTAGTAAACCCACCCCACAGTTCCTTAACTGTTAATCACAGAGCAGAGAAAAATTCCAAAGAAACATGGCATTATCCATTCCTTATTTTAAGTGCATTGGATGTGGTCCACATACCTTTTAGTTGCGCTTGTTCCCATAAATGGATAACAAAGATTCAGTTTTGTTTCAGGGTCCCACTAAGGGATAACCCCATTCCTTGTGCAGCAATTACATCTTCACGTCTATGGTCTCACTCCTAACTCTCAAGAACCACAAGGCCCAACCTTTTCCCACATGTACTCATTCTCAACAGGAAGAGTTACCAAACATTAACCCATTCAATAAAAATATACCAATAGGCACCTGCCTACAGGCTAGTATGGCAAAATACTTCACTTTTAAGGAGCTACTTGTACAAATGCCTACATACATTTTCTTTTATGTAAACAAAGCAAAAAAACAGCATGAATCAGCATCTTTATGTGCTTGTGGTAAATTCAGCTGATTAAACAAATAGTGCATTAATGAAATGATTATTGTAAAAAAATAATTTGCAGCAAGAAAAGAGCCACAAGCTGTGTTAGATTGCCCTTCAGTCAATATGTGATGGCAATATGGCATTCCCGGATTGCTTGGCCCTAAAAAGACTTTCATTCTGTGTGTGTGCACGACTCTCTGCTACTGACTAATAACTGGCAAAGAATGGCTGGTGTTTAGAAATAGGAATCCAAATGTGTGTGTCCCAGTAGCCTCAATAATCCATAAAGCGCAATGTATTCTATTTATATCTTGTTTATAGCTGTTATGCCTGTAGTCTGCAGTATGCTGCGTCATAGACTTGACAGAAAAGGAATGGTAGGAAAGTCAAAAGGGCAACTTCCCCCACTTTCTTTACATAAAGGCTGACACAACATCATCAGTTCAAGAACAAGCGTGCTATAAGCACATATTTTGAGTTAATATTGCAGTGTATGTATATATATATATATATATATATATATATATATATATATATATATATATATATAGCATTTCAACATGCAGTATATATATATATATTTGTATATATAGATAGATATCTTTTTTTTTTTTTTTAGTTAATATTGCAGTATATATATATATATATATATATATATATATATATTGCATGTTGAAATGCCTGTTTTATATATTACAAAATATATCAAAATTATTTTTTAAAATATATTTTTTTAAAATACAGTCTTCAGATTTTTTTTAACATATAAAAAAGTCATTTTAATATATATTTTTACATATATTTGTAAATTCATTCCAAAAATGTAGATTTGTATTTTTAAAGACATACAGTATATTTGAAATGTATTTTTAAAAATATTTGTTGTATATTTTGTAATAAAACCGCATTTCAACATACAATATATATATACATTATATATGTACCGTATTTTTCGCTCCATAAGACGCACCTGACCATAAGACGCACCTAGGTTTTAGAGGTGAAAAACAAGAAAAAAAAAAATATTCTGAACCAATGGACTGCAGACACAGTACAGGGGACGACCAGAGACTGCGGACACAGTACAGGAGATGACCAGAGACTGCGGACATAGTACAGGAGATGACCAGAGACTGCGGATATAGTACAGGAGATGACCACAGACTGCAGACATAGTACAGGAAATGACCAGAGACTGCGGACACAGTACAGATGACCAGAGACTGCGGACACAGTACAGGAGATGACCAGAGACTGCAGACATAGTACAGGAGATGACCAGAGACTGCGGACACAGTACAGGGGATGACCAAGAGACAGCGAACATAGTACAGGAGATGATCAGAGACTGCGGACATAGTACAGGAGATGACCAGAGACTGCGGACACAGTACAGGGGATGACCAAGAGACAGCGAACATAGTACAGGAGATGATCAGAGACTGCGGACATAGTACAGGAGATGACCAGAGACTGCGGACATAGTACAGGAGATGACCAGAGACTGCGAACATAGTACAGGGGGTGACTAGAGACTGCGGACATAGTACAGGAGATGACCAGAAACTGTGGACAGTGCAGGGAATGACCAGAGACTGCGGACAGTGCAGGGAATGACCAGAGACTGCGGACAGTGCAGGGGATGACCAGAGACTGCGGACAGTGCAGGGAATGACCAGAGACTGCGGACAGTGAAGGGAATGACCAGAGACTGCGGACAGTGCAGGGGATGACCAGAGACTGCGGACATAGTACAGGAGATGACCAGAGACTGCGGATATAGTACAGGAGATGACCACAGACTGCAGACATAGTACAGGAAATGACCAGAGACTGCGGACACAGTACAGATGACCAGAGACTGCGGACACAGTACAGGAGATGACCAGAGACTGCAGACATAGTACAGGAGATGACCAGAGACTGCGGACACAGTACAGGGGATGACCAAGAGACAGCGAACATAGTACAGGAGATGACCAGAGACTGCGGACATAGTACAGGAGATGACCAGAGACTGCGAACATAGTACAGGGGGTGACTAGAGACTGCGGACATAGTACAGGAGATGACCAGAAACTGTGGACAGTGCAGGGAATGACCAGAGACTGCGGACAGTGCAGGGAATGACCAGAGACTGCGGACAGTGCAGGGGATGACCAGAGACTGCGGACAGTGCAGGGAATGACCAGAGACTGCGGACAGTGCAGGGAATGACCAGAGACTGCGGACAGGGAGTGCAGGGGTGGACAGTGCAGGGGATGACCAGAGACTGCAGACAGTAAGGGGATGACCAGAGACTGCTGACCTTTGGGGAGGGAGGGGGAGCGGGTACCTGAATTTGACAGGTACCCGCTCCCACTTCCGCAGAGTTCCCTCTTCTTCCCGGGCCGGCTTCTGTGACAGCCGGGTGCCCACTGCGCATGTGCTGCGCTTTGTGAATGGCCCGGTGCCTTCTGGGACCTTTCATGTGTCCCAGAAGACACCGGATCATTCACAAAGCGCAGCACATGCGCAGTGGGCACCCGGCTGTCACAGAAGCCAGCGCGGGAAGACTGTGCAGCGCTGGAGCAAGGAACAGGTAAGGTCCTGCAGGAGACAACAGCTGAGCGCCCGGCCCGGTATTCTGACATGGTGGCGGCAGAAATACCGGACCGGCCGCTTTATATTCGCTCCATAAGACGCACTGACATTTTCCCCCCTTTTTTGGGGGGAAAAAAAGTGCGTCTTATGGAGCGAAAAATACGGTATATATTTTTTTTTAATTGAAATATATTTTTAAATATATTGAATATGGCCAAAATTGTGGTATTTCAAATATATGTCAGTATATTTGGGAAGAATATTATTAAAATATATATTTCAAATATATTTTTCTTTCATGTGGGTCATCCATATCTTTATGGACCTTGCTTTGTGCACTGGTGCGCAGTCATGTTGGAAAAGGAAGGGGTCATCCCCAAAATGTTCCCACAAAGTTGGGAGCATGAAATTGTCCAAAATGTTTTGGTATGCTGATGCCTTAAGAGTTCCCTTCACTGGAACTAAGGGGCCAAGCCCAATCCCTGAAAAACAACCCCACACCATAATCCCCCCTACACCAAATTTTGCACTTGGCACAATGCAGTCAGGCAAGTACCGAACTCCTGGCAACCGCCAAACCTAGACACGTCCTTCGGATTACAATTATAAATAGTGCAGCGCTCAAAAACAATACTAAATATAATACAACAAATGTGCTCACATGCAATAGTGTCACAAAATTATTCAAAAATAAATCATTAAGTGAGATATCTACATTATAAAGTGCCACTCAGTATTATTCTCTATCACATTAGTGCCCCACATATTCAAAAAATATAACTACCATTTGAAAAAAAGACACAATTTTCACAGTGCTCCAAGTGTAATAACGTGACCACACTTTATATACTACTCAAAAAGTGCAAAAAATTATAAAATGTCCATAGAAAACTGCTAATAATAAATTCATGCAATGTGCAAATGAAAGTGCAGAAAAAATGTGTTCATATTCCGCAACCGTGCCACTCTTCACCTCACCTCCTTAAAACGACCCCTAAGGGCCAAACAGCTTTCAGGATCACTCTGGATCCTTATCCCCTGGCGATAAGCACTTCTCCTGACGTTGTGGATCACTTTAGGGGACATCCATTACCCCCAATCGGAAGTCCTTCGGATTGCCAGACAGAGAAGCGTGATTCATCACTCCAGAGAACACATTTCCACTGCTCTAGAGTCCAGTGGTGGCGTGCTTTTTACACCACTGTATCCGACGCTTTGCATTGCACTTGGTGATGTAAGGCTTGGATGCAGCTGCTCGGCCATGGAAACTCATTCCATGAAGCTCTCTATGCACCATTGCTGGGTTAATCTGAAGGCCACATGAAGTTTGGAGGTCTTTAGCTATTGACTGCAAATAGTTGGCAACGTCTGTGCACTGTGCACTTCAGAATGTGCTGACCCCACTCTGTCATTTTACATGGCCTACCACTTCATGGCAGAGTTTCTGCTGTCCCCAGTTGCTTCCACTTTGTTATAATACCACTAACAGTTCACCGTGGAATATTTATTAGCAAGGAAATTTCACAGATGGACTTATTGCACAGGTGGCATCCTATCACGGTACCACGCTTGACTTCACTGAGCTCCTGAGAGCAACCCATTCTTTCACAAATGTTTGTAGAAGCAGTCTGCATGTTTAGGTGCTGGATTTTATAGAGCTGTGGCCATGGAGGTGATTGGAACATCTGAATCTAATGATTTGGAGGTGTGTTCCAATATTTTTAGCAATATAGTGTATATATATATATATATATATTTATATATATGGATATATATATATATCCATATTGTGTGCATCAAATGCTTTTGGAAAGATAGCTATTACCTTGTAAACACAGCAGTAACATCATCACTGTGCTGTACATAGCCTCTGCAGAAATCAGAGCTGTGGGAGGGGCCCCCTTATTACAGTTGCCTGCAGAAAACTGCAGAAGAGGCGGAGACAAGACCAGTCACCCTGCACAAGGAAAGAGAACAGCAGTGACCAGTCTTTCATACTTGATTAGAAATATAGCCCGTTTCTTATATAACCCAAATAGGGAAGATCGAATATTTTAAATAGGGTCCATGTGTTATAGGGTCATTTTTTAAACGCATAGTTCATATTTAGATTACATATATTTATAAGAAAAAATATATATATATATACAGTGTGGGGATCGAAAGTTTGGGCACCCCAGCTAAAAATTTGTATTAATGTGCATAAAGAAGCCAAGGAAAGATGGACAAAATCTCCAAAAGGCATCAAATTACAGATTAGACATTCTTATAATATGTCAACAAAAGTTAGATTTTATTTCCATCATTTACACTTTCAAAATAACAGAAAAACAAAAAAATGGCGTCTGCAAAAGTTTGGGCACCCTGCAGAATTAATATCTTGTACTGCCCCCTTTGCAAAGCTGAGACCTGCCAGTGTCATGGATTGTTCTCAATCATCGTCTGGGAAGACCAGGTGATGTCAATCTCAAAGGTTTTAAATGCCCAGACTCATCTGACCTTGCCCCAACAATCAGCACCATGGGTTCTTCTAAGCAGTTGTCTAGAAAACTGAAACTGAAAATAGTTGACGCTCACAAAGCTGGAGAAGGCTATAAGAAGATAGCAAAGCGTTTTCAGATGTCAATATTCTCTGTTCGGAATGTAATTAAGAAATGGCAGTCATCAGGAACAGTGGAAGTTAAAGCAAGATCTGGAAGACCAAGAAAAATATCAGACAGAACAGCTCGCAGGATTGTGAGAAAAACAATTCAAAACCCATGTTTGACTGCACGATCCCCTCCAGAAAGATCTGGCAGACACTGGAGTTGTGGTACACTATTCCACTATAAAGAGATACTTGTACAAATATGGTCTTCATGGAAGAGTCATCAGAAGAAAACCTCTTCTACGTCCTCACCACAAAAATCATCGTTTGAACTTTGCAAATGAACATATAGACAAGCCTGATGCATTTTGGAAACAAGTTCTGTGGACCGATGGGGTTAAAATGGACTTTTTGGCCGGAATGAGCAAAGGTACGTTTGGAGAAGAAGGGGCACAGAATTTAATGAAAAGAACCTCTGTCCAACTGTTAAGCATGGGGTTGGATCAATCATGCTTTGGGGTTGTGTTGCAGTCAGTGGCACAGGGAACATCTCACGAGTAGAAGGAAAATGGATTCAATAAAATTTCAGCAAATTTTGGATGGTAACTTGATGCCATCTGTGAAAAAGCTGAAGTTAAAGAGAGGATGGCTTCTACAAATGGATAATGATCCTAAACAAACCTCGAAATCCACGGGGGATTACATCAAGAGGCGTAAACTGAAGGTTTTGCCATGGCCTTCACAATCTCCTGACCTCAACATAATTGAAAATCTATGGATAGACCATAAAAGAGCAGTGCGTGACAGACAGCCCAGAAATCTCAAAGAACTGGAAGACTTTTGTAAGGAAGAATGGGCAAAGATACCTCAAACAAGAATTGAAGACTCTTGGCTGGCTACAAAAAGCGTTTACAAGCTGTGATACTTGCCAAAGGGGGCAGTACAAGATATTAACTCTGCAGGGTGCCCAAACTTTTGCAGACGCCATTTTTTTGTTTTCTGTTATTTTGAAAGTGTAAATGATGGAAATAAAATCTAACTTTTGTTGACATATTATAAGAATGTCTAATCTGTAATTTGATGCCTTTTGGAGATTTTTCCATCTTTCCTTGGCTTCTTTATGCACATTAATACAAATTTTTAGCTGGGGTGCCCAAACTTTCGATCCCCACTGTATAGTTAAAACATTTTAATAAAATTCACTCTATATATTTTTTAATTTATCTTTTAATAATTGTATATTGTGAGTGTCTTATATGCTCATTTAATTTATATTGTTATATTTTTCCTTATATTTTTTTTTTTCCCTATTTACTAGTCTAAAATAAAGTGTCTATCGGGAAAAACATTTAAAAAAGGAAACATAATTGGCACGGTATTAAAGCAGAGTTCCAGATGTTTTTGTGTTTATTAAAAGTCAGCAGCTACAAAAACTGTAGCTGCTGGATTTTAATAAACACACGCTTACCTGTCCTAAGGTCCAGCGATGTGCTCACCCGCGTCTTCCCTTCTTTCCTTCTTCTCTCCAATGCGCCAGCATCTCAACTGTGGGCACCAGGCTATGACAGCTTGCGGCGCGAGTCACACTGCGCATCCTGTTTGATGCGGCAGTCTTCTGGGACTGGTGAAGGTTCCCAGGAGGATGGGGGAGGAAGGAGGGGCCGAACTTCTTGCTCACTTCGCCGAGGCGAACTTAGCCGGAAGTGGGAGCAGGTACCTGTCAAAACCAGGTACCGGCTCCCCCCCCCCCCCAAAAGGTGCCAAATATGGCAGTGGAGGGGGGAGGAGGCAAACAAGTGGAGCTTCCACTTTTGGGTGGACCTCCACTTCAAATAGTGTACAGTATAGATCGAGGGGTATTTTAACAAGTGAGAAAGAGCACTGTGATTGCAGACAGTGATCCAGTGATTATGCATTCAAATTAATTACCATCTCCCAATAGCAGCACATTTCAGAGTGAGGTCTGTGATGCAACGCGGTGCCTGACCCCTTCTCACCAACTCGTGACAAAGGACCAGCCAATCTCACACAGCGCTTTCATTTACGTAACAATGTCACTCTCAGCTGTATCACACACATATAACACTCATCTGTAACACACACAGACAAGTATATTCAGAGGATTATTATATACAGTA